GTGCATCCCTAAATAAAAGTATTTTCTTAAAAAAAATAAATAAATAAATCGTACTGATCCCAAACTTTTGAACAGTTGTGTGTACTGCATAGCATCTGGGTGCTTTCACATACTATTTTCAACACTGTGTGATGATAAAAATTCCTATTTTGTAATATAACCTAACACCTAATTTAGCAGACTACATAGTGCACATAGTTTGTAAATGGGAATGCAGCCTTAGGCTAAAAAAACACTGCCATGTGACTCATCCAAAACAAGATGGAATGTCTTTAACAAGTCTTGTTTCTCCTATAAACTTCACAATCTAGATATACCAGTGACATGATGTTCATGTGTATGTCAGTGCTGATCTGATATGCACTGATTAGGTCACTTCTTTACCTCTTGTTTGTAATTCTCACTGCTTTCTGCCATCCCTTTCTCTTTTTCTCTCTCTCCATCATGTCTTTCTCTTCCCTAACTTCTCCTGTGTTCCTCTATCACTCCTTATCTCTCTTTGCCCCATTTCCCTTTCTCTCTCACACTCTCCGTCTTCTTGTCGTTCTTCTCTTTTTCTCTTTCTGTGTGTGTGCGCGGTCTGTAGCTCTGCGTAGTTGCTCTACGGGGGACAGCCTGCTGTCCTCAGCCTTTATCCGCAGTGCTAAAAGCGCACCTGTCCTGATCCACCCCGTACACCCTCTCCTGCCTGATTCTGTCCTCACTCCCCTAGCTGACGAGCTGTCAGGTAGAGCCCTCTACGCCCGTATCGGCACTCTCGCCTCTGACTGCTTCCTGGCCTATGGATGTGCATGTATATGTATGTGTGCTACACTTCCTCTAGTTAGCATCCGCTGCCTGTCTGTTTTATGTGTATAGTAATTTTCATTTAATAGATCTGAATGAGTTTTTTTGTCGGTTTAGTGTGCAAGATTTCCTTCTCATTCATCATTGCTTTAAAGCCTCATGCATTGATGCAGATGCTCTCTGACAGGATGAATCTCAAGACAAATGTTAATAAATGTTTTGGTCACTTTTATCCACAAATTCAAATTAATCTTTTGCCGAAATAAAAAAATACATTTTATACTATTTTTACCGTTATATTTTCCCATCTGGATTTATTTCATGTTTTTATTTTTTGGGCTAGAAATACTATAAAAATGTGAAATATTATCGGTACAATTTTACAATATTGTTAACAATAGTTAATTTAGTAGTTATCATAAACCTAACAATAAATAACATTTGTAACATTTTTTAGTTTTGTTTAATGTTAATTTCTTAATGTAAATTCATTAGTTAAATTTGAGTTTTAACTTAAAAAATGTAACACATATTAATATATGTGGAAATTGGCATTTACAGCTTATAATAATGCATGTTAAAGGTTATTCTTTGTTATTCATTTGATTTTGGGGTGGAACATGACCCAGACATTTCTTTGTGTGCACCCAACTTCACCCAACAGAACTATTGAGTCCTGCATGTGTGTGTTTGTTGTCTGTACTGGTTTCTTTTCCTCGTCTTTGAAAATCTACAGTATTATCCTTCTTGCATCACCATTCATCCAATATAATCCCTCTTCACACCCAGAACTTTTGAGAAAAATACCCTCTACAGGATTTACCTTTGTCTGCATTTCATGATCATAATATTTATCTAGAACAACTGGGAGGATGTAAAAATAGAAGCATTATTTTTTGTCTTTTAAAGTGATTTGCTTTCTTTTTGCTTGTGATCGTATATGTTTAATTTACCTTTGAGGTTAATTTGTAAATTTCATTAGATTTAATTGTTTTATGTATGCATGTGTTTTTGCATGTAAAATGTGGCCACTGTGGATCAGTTAATAATATGATAACACTTTCTAGGTCTTTTCATCACCTCTTAGGTATCTGAAATTTTAAGACTTGAAATATAAACTTGTCTTTAAAATAATATTACTGACCATATTCTTGAGTAAACGCACTTGCATATTTAAATGTGCTGATCGATACATATCTGTTCGTGTACAGACCTGGAGGAACCTCCCATTGTCCAGCGTGGGTCGCGGATCCGCCACTGCTCTCAAAGTGAGGAGAATCCATCGTCCGAGGTGTTTTCCGCCTCCGGTGAGCTGGAGCAGCCTCCGCTCCCCCGCAGCAGCAGCGCCTCTGACATCATGGAGCCCTTCATCGCAGAACGGGTCAAAGGTGCACTTCCTGTCTCTGACAGTCCCTCTCACTCCTCCTACTTTACCACCACCACCTCTGTGTCCCCCCACAGTTCCCCGACCCCACACGAGCTTACTGACCCACACCAACCCCCCGACAACCAGGCATCCCTGGAGGTGGGCGAAAGCATCTATGACCATCTCTGCCAGATGCCAGGGCAGCAACCCCCCTTTATCCCTGATTGGTCTTGTCCAGCAGTGGCCTCGACCAATCAGATTGAGGGAGAAGGGGAGGAGGACGTCTTCTGTGCTTTTAGAGAGATTAGTAGCAAGGAGGACAAATTGGAAGCAGGTGTAGATAACAGGCAGGTGCAGTTTGGGGGAAGTGGGGATTGGGCGCTAGAATGGGATAAAGAGATGGAGCAGAGTGAGAAAAGTTTGTACGAGTGCTTAGAAGAGTGTGATTGGGATTTAAGTGTTGGTACGCAGCCAGCAGAGGGCAGCAAAGTCACACAGTTACACCGGCAGAACGCCACAGACAGGGCTAGCGAGAGCGAGCTTAGTCCGCAGGCTTCCCAGGTTGCACCGAGGCCCAAGCTATCCCATCTTGACCCCAAAAAACGCCACAGCGGTGGTGTCCACGTCAGCTTCCGCCCATCCACAGAGTCTGTGCAGTTTCACAACCCTCTGGACCCCAAAGAGGCGCACTGGAAGACCCGTCTCCGCCGTCTCGGCCACTTCAGCAGCCACTCGGTTGGGGCGAGTGGGGCAGCGGCCAAGGGTGTGGGGGAGGGGGTCACCTGTTGCGAGGCGGTCGAGCAGGATAGAGGCTCCATCAGCGGGGCTAGACGCGGCCGACTCGGCCGCCCAACTCTCCGCCCACGGGGGTCCCGTTCTAGGTCTCAGGAGTCAGGGTGCAGCCCGTCACGGCAGCAGCAGGTGGCGCTGTTGGGCGGGGTGTATAAGTCTATGGTCCACGCTCTCTCCAAACCCAAGGCCCAGGCAGCGTCGCCCCAGCGTCACAGCAAAGCGCCTGCCACTGAGGCCCACCTGAAGGACCTGTACACTCACGTTATGGGCTATTTTGGAAGAAAAACATCAGGTGAGGACTCGGTCGGCTCGATGTCAACATGGAAGACATGAAAAATGTGACCAAAGCGCCTGTGCGTTTTCCCTTTTTTTTCTCTCTTTTCTTGTGACTGTTTGATTTTTGCTGAATGTGGATTGAATTGAAGCCTCTTTTTGTATTTTCTTTCAAAGTAGCTCAATTCCAAAAAAAATTTAAAAGACTCCCAAACAGACCAACGGTCCCCTACCTGTGGGACAGCTTCCCCTCCTCCTCAAGCTTCTGGGACCTAATCTCTGCTGCCCCTCTTCCCCTGGATGTTGCATGCGACCTCATGCCTACCTCCCCGCCCTCTGTCAATCTCTCACACATGTACATGCACACACATGCTCACTGACACATTCATAAAACACAGTGATCTTTAATACAACCTAATGTTATGTGTTTTAATCTATACAATTCTTAATGACGTCATTTTACTGAGTAGTGCACCCAAAAATTATAATTCTTTCATCTTTTATAACCATTATAATCATGCTGTTTAGCGGAATTTCCTGAGTGTTCTTTTTTATAATGGTAACTAGGGCTTCAAAAATGACACAAAAAAAAAGCACCTTAAAAATAGGCTTTCTTAGTCATACGTTAGGGGTGTGCGATAGTATGATTGCACAGACATATGTATATGTGTAGAGACATATTTGATAAAAAAAAAAAAACTAATACTGAAAAGTTGAATAAAATTAAATGAAATGTCTTTTAATTAAAAAAATAAATATGAAGACTGTAAATATGAAGAGATAGCATGAATACATTTACACTGCAATTACAATTGTATGTGTGTGTATAGAATATATAAAAAAAACTTGCATATGAAATTATTTAAAAGATTTAATGATTCTTGTGAAGAAAAAATAAATATGAAGACTGTAAATATGAAGAGATAGCATGAATACATTTACACTGCAATTACAATTGTATGTGTGTATAGAATATATAAAAAAAACTTGCATATGAAATTATTTAAAAGATTTAATGATTCTTGTGAAGAAAAAAAAAAAGAGTCATTAAGTCAGTCATTCAAGTGATTAATTCATAAGCGTAATTAAGAAACCATTGCACAACAGTTTTGTTTGGAACTGTTTTCGTTGGCATTCTAATAATTCTGAATAATGCAGTGAATGCTTAAGGCATGTTTAGATTTTTTTTTTTAAGTGAGTGACATACTTTATAGTTTTAGCTTGCACTTTGTTAAAACAACAATTATGATATTATTCTAGAAAATATATATTGCACACCACTACTTTTGTGATGCTATTTTGTCATTTGTAAAGCTCAATAGTTTCCCGTTTTGAGAAAAAGCACTTTGAGCCCTCTGCAGTATATAAACTTTTGAGTTATACAAGGTTTGGAACAACATAAGAATGTGTAAATGATGACAGAATTTTCATCTAAGAGTGATAAAAACTTGTAACAGTATGCAGTTGTTGTAGTTGCCATAGGTGCAATGTTTTGTATGGCCAGTAGAGAGCAGCACTATCACTCTCAAAGAGCACTGTTTTCTAAACTGAAGTCTTGTACTGTGTGTTAAAAGCTTGCCAGCTTGCCTGTAGTGTAGTAGCAGGAATCACCTTAGAATGGCTCCTGTGGACAGTTCAGTTGCACAAGCTATTAGTTAATCAGGGGCCTCATGACTTAAACACAGCTTGTAGTCTAAACTAACCAGACTTCTAGAAGTATCCAAATGCCCTAAGTCACCACCCCACCATGTTGTGCTGCCGTGTTGGTATGATTTGTTGTTAACCAGTGGCTCCCTAACCCTTTGCTTTGGGATGAAGGCTGCCTCGTCTTGCTGTGGGTGGCTCCTCTAACATACTCACTGGTGTCTCACTTTAACCTCAGTCAGCATAAGGCTCACTAACTCTTAGGTTTGGACTTCCAGGGTTTGCTCTGTCTCTCTTTCTGTCTGTCTGTCTCTGTTTGGGGACTGCATGAACTGTGAGTAACTGCATCGCTTCAAAACTGAAATCAGTTTTGTGGTTGGCTTCCGTTAAAGATTTTGTTTTTCTGTATGTGTTCTGGTTTAGTGTTTTATGAGTTTAATGTCAAAGGATTTTGGTTGTGTTTAAAGGGCAATAGTGCTGAGTTTCATTTGCTCAGTTTTTCACCTCAAATTATTTTACTGTCTTGTTAAAGTTTAACGTAGATTCTATTTGGTTTCATGCTAATTTTAGCTGATTTTACAAGATGACATTTTTACCATAATGTGAAAAACATTCACTCCTCTTCAAAAGTTTGGGGTCAGTACGATGTATTTCTATGTTTATTTCTAAAATAAATTAATACTTAATGGGCACGTACAATAAGGACGTATTAAATCGATAAAAAGTTACAGTGAAGTTGTTATATTTAAGTTTCTATATAAATAAAATGGTGTTCTTTTGAACTTTCTATTAATAAAAGAATCCTAAACAAAACATGTATCACAGTTTTCACGAAAAATATCAGTTTCCAAAAACTGATTTTATCATTGAAAATTGGAAATATTTCTTGAGCAAATCAACATATTAAAATTATTTCTGAAGGATCATGTGACACTGAAGACTGGAGTAATTACTGTTGAAAATCCAGCATTACATTCACAGGAATAAATTGCATTTTAAAATAAATTATTCAATTAGAGTTATTTTAAATTGCAATAATTTACAATATTATTTTTGTATTATATTTTTGTAACTTCTTTTAAAAACATTAAAACACCTTACCCACCCCAAAACTATGAAGTAAAATATATATTTTCTTAATTGAATCTGAACAGATTGCCATTGTCCAAAAAAAAAAAAAAAAGATATGGGAAAAGGCGAATGTAAAACATGAGCAAAAAACTAAATGGCACTGTTGTCCTTTAAGAAAAATGTGTTTATTTACTCACCGTCCCCAAACTCAAATAAACTAATTCATAATTATATTCAAGTGCTGTAGAGAGAGTCAGACACCACTACAAAGAGAGAGTCAGTTAGTACATGTCATTCTGCTAGGTCATCTGTGTTTGCACCCATTTTGGGCGGTCCCTGTAAAATACTGATGTGTCTTTCTGTGCCTGTTGTCTCAGCCAATAAAGATGAGCTGACGCCGAAGATGAGGCCCATGTCCAACGATGCTGGCACCAGCAACCCTAATGTCAGTGACCTCATGGACGAGTTCATCCAGGAGAGACTGAGGGCCAGAGGCACTTCTGTATGTCCATGCAAACATTCAGTATGCATAGTCTCTAAAACTACATCTAATTAAAGCATAGTTCTATCTAAACTTGAACAGCTTAGATGGTAGAAAAATAAAAAAAGTTCAAATATGTCAATTTAACGCAGTATTTTCTTCATAATTAATCACACTAAATGATCGCATTAAATTGAAATGCCTGATAATCATTTTAAACAAATGAGCAAATACTGTCAGCAAAAGTATCACATGTCTGCTAAATGCTGCATAATGCTTCACTAAATAATCTAGTTTTTGATTCTGCTGTTGTATGTTATTTTTAGTGTATATTATGTTTTCCTATGTTCTTTTTAGGGCATGACGAGGCGTGGCAGTAGCCCAGGAAGTCTGGACATCCCCAAAGATCTACCAGAGCTCCTGAACCGTCAGAACGCCACGCGTCCTGCAGACGACCCCGGTGTGCCCTCTGAGTGGACCTCCCCAGCCAGCGCCAGTGGAAGTGACCTCATAAGCTCCGACAGCCAATCAGATTCCTTCAATGCTTTTCAGTATGACAACAAATTTGAAAGTAAGTAGTTCAGGTGGAATTTAAAGGGACAAACCAGTACTGGGTTTTAAAAGAAGTTTGATAATGAACCCATGTGTTTGTCTACAGATTTCAGCTTCCCCCCTGAAACATGTGCTCTGGCCTCTGTGGATCAGGATAGTTTGGGAGGAGCAGGTCAGAACGCAGAGGAACAGGAGCTTTCCAGTCTCACAACACTCCACATTGACTCAGAGACCAGCAGCCTCAGTCAGCATGGCCTGTCAGCTGACACTGTCACCATTACTGGTACACTCTCTCACACTCATATACAACAGGGTGTAGAGGACAGAAAGTTTGTAGGTTATGAACTGCTATAATCACTGTAAGAAACATAGATAACAAAAGTCATAATTTTAAGAAGTCTTTCATTTTTGGGGGACGGAAAGACAGTAAATCGCAATACGGTCTGTAATTATTGGCAAATAAGTAAATAAAAAAGGAAATAAATTAAATTAATAGGTAAAATAAATAAATGTGCAGACTGGATATTAAACTGTACCTGACATTTAATTCAATGTAAGCTCTTGTGGTTTGAAATTTGAATTTAAAAACTTGCAAATACATAACTGTTGTTTTGATTTCTTGGTCTTAATGCATATTTGATTAATTTTCAGTATTTTACCATTTGATTCCAAATAGGGGTGTAACGATTCACTCGTTTTATCGATGCATCGATTACAAATCCTGACGATGCATATGCATCGATCTTGAAACATGATTTTTGAATCGTGAATCGCCGATTTCGGACAGTAATCGATTTAAAACGCTAAGAATCGAATTAATTGCGATTTCTATAGCGATTCAATGCTTTCAAAATATATACACATTAAATTACTACAAGCACGAATTAATGGAGACCTTGAACAGTGTTCGTGCCTCGCATCTCTCCTTCACGCGCTCCACTAACCGCCTGTGACTGTCACAGGATTGCGCTCGCGCTCTGTTCGTCTCATTGATGCATTTTTTGAGCAGCTGATGTGTGATCTCTCCTTAGTACTCATGGCCAGTAATGTTAAAGTGAAGTAGTTTTACTTTTCTGTAGTTTTTCAATGGCTCTCGGTAATACCGACGACATTACCTGAGCAACCTTGAAATAAGAGTGCAAGGTTTATCTGATAATCAGATGCATGAAAGTAGTTTGTTGCTATAGCAAACAGACATCGGTACGTTTTCTTTCAGAATCATCATTCGCCGATGGAGAGGAAAAGTTAAACACTATAGCATTTTATTTTATGAAAATGAGACAGAAGTTTTCGCACTAAAGAGAATTGATCTCATGCTCATAGAACTTAAGATGTGCCAGGCTATATCTGCAGCTAATCTGAATAAAGGCAATAAACACAATAAATAAATACAATTTTCGAATGATGCAGTGCTAATTGACATATCATTTATTACAGTACAGAAACTATAAAGTATATTTTCTACCATATTCTGTGTATTTAAATAATACACAGAATATGGCTTTATATTCTATTTAAATAATTGTTTGTAGTATATAAAACAATCAGAAAATTGCTATTAGGTAAATATTATAGATTACAAATGATTGATTATTGTCCAGCAGTGTATTTGATTTCTTATAGCAAATTCAAAGTAATAGATAAGAAAATAATTATAATAATACATACATACATAAAATTATTGTATTTGATATTTCTGTCACTTCTGAAATGATGGCTACTCCCCTGGTGTGACAAAATGTTAGCCTATACATAATACTTTTAAAGTTATTTTTTAAAATCTTGGCTTACATAAATTTTTACATATGCCATGTCATGCCATAGCATCATTAAAATCTGATAATCAGATGCATGAAAGTAGTTTGTTGCTATAGCAAACAGACATCGGTACGTTTTCTTTCAGAATCATCATTCGCCGATGGAGAGGAAAAGTTAAACACTATAGCATTTTATTTTATGAAAATGAGACAGAAGTTTTCGCACTAAAGAGAATTGATCTCATGCTCATAGAACTTAAGATGTGCCAGGCTATATCTGCAGCTAATCTGAATAAAGGCAATAAACACAATAAATAAATACAATTTTCGAATGATGCAGTGCTAATTGACATATCATTTATTACAGTACAGAAACTATAAAGTATATTTTCTACCATATTCTGTGTATTTAAATAATACACAGAATATGGCTTTATATTCTATTTAAATAATTGTTTGTAGTATATAAAACAATCAGAAAATTGCTATTAGGTAAATATTATAGATTACAAATGATTGATTATTGTCCAGCAGTGTATTTGATTTCTTATAGCAAATTAAAAGTAAGAGATAAGAAAAGAATTCCTTGTAAAAAAATAAAATAAAATAAATAATACATAGGCAACATACAGAAAATTATTTGTATTTGACATTTCTGTCACTTCTGAAATGATGGCTAAGCCTCTGGTGTGACAAAATGTTAACCTATACATAATACTTTTAAAGCTCTTTTTAAAAATCTTGGCTTACATAAATTTTTACATATGCCATGTCATGCCATAGCATCATTAAACTAGCATCTAACAATGGACAAAAGTGTTTTTTTTCCTCTAACCTATGGTTCTGTAACCATAAAGGCTGTAGTGTAATTTGCCCCCTGACTAAGCATTTAAAGAATTTAGGGGAAGCATTTAAATAATCCTGTGAATGCACTTAAAGAATGCATGATTAATCGAATCAAATCGAATTTAATTCTGAATCGAATTGAATCATTCTAAATTTGCAAAAATCGTTCTTGAATCGAATCGAAAACCTATGAATCGAATCGAATCGCTGTCTACCCAAAGATTCACAGCCCTAATTCCAAACCATTCACAAGTTTTCTTTAGGTTTAAGTTTAAATTTTAACATGCACAGAACAACACATATGTTGTAGTTGCATTGCATGTAATGCAAAGAATGTGAACTGCTCACCGAATGTAATTTCTGCAGAAACCAGCAGCAATGAGAAGCACATTATACCGTAAAAGGCAAATAATTCATCATCAGTAGTGGTTCCCTCGGACAATTAACCCAGATTGCTTTCATTCCGATTGCATACCATACTTAAGTCCACATAAACAACATAATCTCTGACCCTTATTTTCAAGAGCACTAGGGTGTTGTTTGGTAAACCCAAAACTATCCAAACTAACCTAACCAACGAACATTCCCCATGTTACAGGGATAGTTCACCCAGAAATTATATTTTTAAGAATGCTGGTAATCAAACAGTTGATGGTCCCCATTGACTTCCACAGTTTCCGTACAATGGAAGTCAATGGGGACCAACAACTGTTTGGTTCTTCAGTATTCTTCATAATATCTTCTTTTGTGTTCAATATAAGAGAGAAACTCATACAGGTTTGGAACAACATGAGGGTGAGTAAATGATGACAAAATTTTCATTTTTGAAAAGAACTATTCCTTTAAGTGTGCAGAAAATTTCTTTGGGTAAAAGCATCTGCTGCTTGATTCCTTGCTTCAGAACACTCTGGTATCAGTCACAGTGTTCCCATATGCTGTATGACATTTCTGTGTCATGTTTAGAGATCTAAGTGTTGATGCTCTTGATGTTTCCTCAGGTTCTGAGAGCGCGTCTCCAATGCACTCTCTGGGATGCTCACGATCACAGACGCCATCCCCCGCCACGCTGACTGCTGAACACGTCCAGCATAAAGATCTACAGCTGGATGAGAAAATGCACCACTCTGTGCTGCAGACCCCTGATGACCTTGGTAACGTATAGATCGATAAACAGACATACTTGGCTATGAATATGCAAACTAGTACTCTATCTGTTGCATCTTTGCCATCTTTGCAGAAACCAGTGAGTTTCCAACAGAGGACTGTAGTGTGATGGCTGGCGGCACTCTGACCGGCTGGCATGCTGATGTCGCCACAGTGATGTGGAGGAGAATGCTAGGAATTCTGGGAGATGTCAACTCCATCAAGGACCCTGAGATCCACGCACAGGTCTTTGACTACCTCTGTGAACTCTGGCAGAACCTGTGCAAGGTAAACACACACACACACACACACACACACATTCAGAGTCCTTCAGTGTGCTCTGAAAGGATGATTTACAGTGCCATTACTAATCAAATTCCAGTTGAAAAACGTCCTTGTGTTTCTTTTTTTTTGTCTGTTTCTCTAGATCAGAGACAATCTTGGGATCTCTCTTGACAACCAGTCGTCTCCACCCCCGCCGGATCTGATTCCACCTCTGCGGATTCTGACTCCCTGGCTTTTCAAAGTGAGTTTATCAATATTTTGAGCAAATCCACTTTACTGTTTATCATAGTTGACTATTACTTTATTTTTTTATTAGCATAATTTATTAGTTCTGTGCATCTGTCTGTCTGTCTGTCTGTCTATCTATCCATCTGTCCAATCAATAGGTTTGTTTGTTCATTCATTCATTCTGTCTATCTATCTATCTATCTATCTATCTGTCTATCTGTCTGTCTGTCTGTCGGTCGATATATCAATTGTTTATAAAGGTTTTGTGCTGTCTGCGTGCAGGCCACTATGTTGGGCGAGCGCTATAAGCAGGGGAAACTCCATGCCTATAAGCTCATCTGTAAGATAATGAAGAGAAGACAGGATGTTTCACCTAACTCTGACTTCCTTACGCACTTCTACAACATCATGCACTGCGGCCTGCTTCACCAAGACCAGGTGTGTTTGTGTGTACCTGGTCACCATGTGGATTGACAACTTTGCACAAAACTTTTGTTGACCTCTTCCTCTTTGACTCCCAGGACATTGTGAACACCATCATTAAGCACTGCTCTCCACGCTTCTTCTCTATTGGACTTCCGGGTGCCACTATGCTCATCCTGGACTTCATCGTGGCAGCGAGTCGTGTAACTTCCTGTTCGTCCCTCAATGTGAGAAACCACCAAACTATTTTCAGATATCACTGCCTCTACATGCGTTAACATCTATGCACATGTGTTTGCAAATGTTACATCCAATGTGCCTTTAACTTGCTTTTGTCTTTCTCTTTTTTTCTGTCTTTCTCCCAGGCTCCACGGGTGGAGGCTCAGATCTTGTTGGGCTCCCTGGTGTGCCTCCCAAACTTGTACAATGAACTTCCTGCCCTGCACCCCACAACGGCTGACATCCTCATGACGAAATTCACAGATGTCAAGGTATCACATCCTACCCCAGGAAATCTTTGTATAAATAAAACTTAAAAATATAAAAGCAAAAAATTATGGATGTCTCAAGACACATGGATGCAGTAGTGAGGTCGGGTTATCTACCTAATTTTTCCTACCTGTTTTTTTTATAATATTTATTTTTCATTTATATATAAAGTTTATTAATAATTTTCATTATTTTATAGTCTTAATTATTATTCATTTAATTATTTAATTGGGCATTGTGCTGGGCGGTTTGACCAAAAATCTGTATCACAGTTTTCTTTAGGATTCTGACAGTTTCACGGGTTATCATTGTTTTTTCCTTGACAGTGCCTTTATATGAATCAGAATCCATGAAACAGTTGCAGAACCACTGCATTTTAATCACGATCCAAACAAACATGCTACATGTGGCATGAGCCATTTTTGATGTAAATTGGATTGGATAATTTCAAAATTTAAAGCAAAAACAGAATGGTCTGACCGTAGCTTTGTGAAATTATGCTACTTAAAAACATCTGCACGAATCATAAACAGCAGACAGCAGGTGGCACTTATGGAACAACAGTGATGCAGCATTTCCTTGGTTACTGCTGTAAACAAAGCACCTGCTTTTAAATGCTACATTAATATGCATGGATAGATATGGAGGTAAGAGGAAAAGAAAATACCATCTAAACTTTTCTGAATACAGTCAGTTCCCCTCAGAGATACATTCATATAATCCCCCACCCACAATTCACTATTTAAGATTTTCTTCCCAAATTTTACGCATGGTGAAGTGAGTTTGCTCTGCCTTCTACAATAGTTGTTTAGTTGTTCCATTAACTAAACGGTTCGGAAAATATGCAGTTTTGTGCATCTTTCCTACAAATATTCTCTGATTTCATGCAGCTACATTAGGACCACTGACCTTCAATGAGGACTTCCTCATGTGTTTGTATCTGTCATCTGCGTTTAACCTCTGATCCACCGCCTTCCCTTATGCAAATCCAAGTGGCTGAATGTATGCCACTCCAACGGTTGTTTAGAGTGCAGGGAAATCTGCTGTAATTGTTCCTGCCGACACTAATGTGCTAATGGGCGATCAGCAATGCAGGCTGCATTGAGCCATCTCCATAGAGCTGTTGTTATTGTGTTGCCGTGTTGTTCCGAGCGACGGTAAGGAGCTAATGCCATGCGGCGAGGCGTCCGTCACTCGCATGCAGAAATTCACATGATGGCATCTGATAACCAGGAGCAGGCCATGAATGACAAGACCGTGGTTAACGTGATCCTTTTTCTGTGCGTGTGTGCACGCAGACAGATGCTTCTTTTCCAGATGGTTGGATATGTCATGTTCCGAGTTGCCAGATTGCTGGTTTTATGTCAGATTTTGTGTCTGTTGTGAACGGTTCTGATCATTATCTGTTTGTCTGTCTGCATTATCTCGCTCTGTGCATCTGTGTCTCTGGTGGGAGTGTGTGGGGTATTGTGTATGTTTCTGTGAGCGAATGTGCTGTGTGACTAAGAAATGGGTGCATATTATCTGACACACTCTAGATGGAATGAAATTGATCGGTATCAGGATGTCGCCAGATCCTTGAAGAGGATTTTGTGCACCGTGTATTTTCATTGACTGCCATTCAGAATTGTTTATTTGTTCTGACGCAAGGATATTTTAAATTGATCACAAGTACCAGTAAAGACATTTATATTGTTGCAAAGATTTAATATAAATGCTGTTCTTTTGTTTTTCCTTCAATATTGATAATAAGAAATCTTCATGATCATGTAAAGACTGGAGTAATGTCTGCTTAAAATTCAGCGTTGTTATTACTGGAATAAATTAAATTTTAAAATAATTGAAAACAGAAAGCTATGGAATAAAAAAGTAATTGCAACTTATCTAACTTCTTTTGCAATTCTGAGAAAAAAAACTTTCTCTGAGGGGGAAAAAAAATCTAAATGGCAAGATATAAACAAGCTTCCATTAAAAAAAAACGTTACTTTAAATTGTAATAATATTTCACAATATTAGTGTTTATTAGTTAATGTATTTTTGAAAAATAAATTTAGCCTTGGTGAGCATAAGAGACTTTCAAAAAATCTTACTGACTTTTGATTGGTGATGTGAATCGCTTATAATTCATATTATATTAGACATTTTAATATTATCTAATTGTTTAAATTATATACAGTATATATCCCTTGTCATTTGAAATGTAACTTAAAGCTTAAAGAGTTAGGAATAAGTACGTAAAATTATTATTTTTTGCCAAACGGCAGTAATTTTCTGTAAATCTTCATCAGTTATGGTTGCTTCCGGGCGAGCGGTTTCTCCGCAGCTTTCTCGTCTCCGCTCTGTTGCTATGACTCGCCAGGATTATAGCGCGTTCTCAGTGGTTAGCTGGTATGCGGCTGATTTCATGCGCGAGGTAAGCTGTTCGCGAAGCGCTCACCCAAGTGGAAAAATGTGATTGCCAAAAATTACATTGTGTTTGATACAAAACCAACTTGACTAAATCAAAAAAAAACAAACAAACACTAACTGTATATTTTTACTTTCTCAAGCAAAGCAAATTTTAAAAGTCCACTGAACAACTTACATTTTTGGTCATAGACAACGTATGTTGAAGATATAGGCCTACGTTATTGTCAACGTTATTTCCTTAAGCGGTAAAAAAAAAAATATATATATTTTTTTATAAAAACGTGGGCTATATAAAATTTTAATAATAACAAATGTCATATTGTTTTGCGTATGCTCGTGTCGCTTACAGTTGAAGTCCGTCTCTGATTTTATTATTGTTTGCAAGGTTGCAATGTTACTTTGCATTATTTTAAATACTTTTGGGTATTTTGCATGGTCTGTTATGTCAACCGGGTGGGAGTTTTAACTCCGATTCACTGTGAATAAAAAAATTATTTAGCTGATGCAGAGAGACATATAGACCGGGGGAATCCCCCCATCTCCCCACCCTCTGATTACGTATCATAACATAACTATGTGATCATGTTGATCACTATGATCCCGTTAATAGTGATTGTGATTTGAGATTTGTTTTTCTGTTTCAGGAGCATATAATCAAGCACATCCTGACCTCTGCCAGAGATGAGCCTTCTGCACCAGCAAGGTACAAGCCCTGAACACAAACACTTTGTCCTAGTCAAAGCTGACTTAGAAGTGACCACGTTTACTCTGGAATGTTGAGCTGTAGTTCTTAGGTAAATGCTCGCAGCATTTCCTGATCCCGTTCCCCCACACTCCACATCATTTCCTCTTCTATCCCTCTGCTGCATAAAAAAGTGTGGGGAAAAAAACATATCATCCTTGCTAGGTGTGGCACATTAAATAATTTTCCTGTTCTTAGTGAATGCGAAATGTAGCAAGTAAATCTCAGCTGAACAGACAGTTTGAAATGTCAACCAGAGGACAAAAGGTCAGGTTGGTTGTGACAAAAAACTGTAAACGTGAACATCACTAACATGAACACTCAAATAATACAAAGCACACTGCAGCAGACAGAAAAAATGTCATGTCATTATGCATTAAAATGCATTATACTAATTCCATAAATATAAATCTAATTTTAACAGGGGATTGTATAATTAATTAACTGATCCCTTGATGTAGCTTGTATAGTATCCTTCATCAGGATTGTATTATTAGTCCAAAAAAGAAAAGAAAAGTCTTGTGTTTTCCAGGTCAGTGCATCCTCCTTGTTAGATTTGTTTTTTAAAATGAAGCAAGCAAACCCCATGGCAGACAGATTAATAACTCTGTACATTACGGTCAGTGTTAGACTGGTGTGGGGCTATGTGTCTGGTCATATCTAGACAGATTAGGAGCAGTGTCGTTTAAAGTAATCCAGGAGGACTCAGTAGGATTAGAGTGGATTCTGATGGGGCTCAAGCCATTAGAAGCCCCCTTAACTCCCGGTAGAAAAAGTTTGGGTGTTTTTCAGGGAAAAACTGAGGAAGCCTTAGATCAGGGGTGGCGAACGTCGGTCCTGGAGAGCCGCAGCCCTGCAGAGTTTTGCTTCAACCCTAATCAAACACACATGAACAAGCTAATCAAGGTCTGAAGGGTTACTAGAAAGCTACAGGCAGGTGAGTTTTAATTAGGGTTGGAGCTGAACTCTGCAGGGCTGCGGCTCTCCAGGACCAGAGTTCGCCACACCTGCCTTAGATCATAGAAGGGGCAGACAGGAGGCAGGATTAAATATCTATATGGTCTAGTGGTTAGTGCACATGCCCCAACACATTGAGCTGTGGGCCTCATTCAAGCCATACACATTTGAGTCACACTTGTTTTGTTTTTTTTATGTGCAAAATGTATGTATAGATGCAGAAGCTGATTTAAAAAAAACTTTATTCAGCAAGGACACATTCAGTTGATCAGAAGTGACAGTAAAGGCAAAACATTTAAATAAATAAATGTAAATAAAGTAAAAAAATATATTTTTATACATACATTTTTACTTTAATTTACTTTATTAATTTATTTTTTAATCTTAATAAATGTTTTTGCTTGAAGTAAATTCTTTACATGGCAGATGTAAACATTTCCATTTCCATACCTAAAGCACAAATATTATTAAAGAGATTGTGCATTTGTAAATTGTTTGAATGTTTATTTTAAAGTTGAAATTAAAGTTATGTCTTTGTTTCTTTTTGCAGGTGTGTGGCTCTCTGTAGTCTGGGTATTTGGCTCTGTGAAGAACTGGTTCATGGCACTCAGCATCCGCAGATCAAAGAAGCGCTTAATGTCATCTGTGTCACTCTCAAGGTAACGGATGCTTGATTATACAACAAAATGTACATATATTCTGCTGTTAAAGATTGATTATAAATTGAATAGAAGCATCTGTGTTGTAAAAGAACCTTCACTGGCAACATAAGTGAGCACAGCAGAGAAATGATGGCATTGCCCTTGGCCTGAGTCTTCTGAAGCCGTTCTTGATGCCTGGGCTCACTGCACTGGCACAAGTGTGTTCTGTTCATCCAGAAGAAGATTATTCCATACTCCCTGCACCCACCCCTACCAGCCTTGCTAAATCTGGACCGTCTACATGTTTGGCTTCTCTGCTTCTCACAGACAGAAGGCTAATCCACTGAAGAATGCACGCTTCAGAGACTTCGAGGAATTATTACATTTCTGTCTGAAATGAAGGCTAGGGCCAACAGACACACACACACACACATACTCAAACTCAGGTCCAATCAGAAAAAGTCTGTTTGTGATTGGGTCGATTCTATTGGCTTTTCAGAGAATCTGGTGTCAGTGGAGGGTTAGACGTGAGGGTCTCTCTCCTTTGGGTGCGTTCCATGAAGCAGAATTAGGCAAAGACTCATCCTGTCTTAATCAGCTCAGATGAGGCCCAGTTTTTCAGTTTTGCTCCACACATGTCTGAGCACATTAAAGTTGCTGATTGCTTTCATTTTAACCATTAATACCTTTCTTCCAGTTCTCAAATAAAACCGTTGCTCTGGTGGCCTCAGACATTTTGCACCTGCTCATCAATTATGTGGACGAACTGCAGAAATTCCCGCCTGACACTCCAAAGAAAATAGTGGAGGTAAAGTCAGTAACACTACAAGTGAGCTGAATTTTAAGTTAAGCATGGTTTGGATGTGTGATGTTTATTTTCTGCTTTTTAGGTCCTTATTGCAACCATCACTTACCTTCTTCCTGCCACAGAGTCCTCCCCTCATGAGCTGGACAAGAGGGTATGTCTTATTAACAAATGCACCCCAACATAATGAAAGAACACACTCATGTGCATGTGAAATAAATGCTTATTTTCAACCAACAACTCATGAAGGTTTTTATTAAAGAGAAAGTACATTTAAAAAAACAGAACAGTTTGTCCTGTCTAGATGCAGCACATCAAGAAATTGTCCTGTTCTTACTAAAAAGAAATGCTTTATAAAGCAACTAAACAACGTGTTTGCAACATTATAAGTCTTCTGAAGAAATTTGATGGGTTTGTGTGAGGAAGAGGCCTAAATTGTCATAACTGTTTTGGGTGACATGAGGGTGATGCTGAGTTTCCATTTTTGAGTGTACTGTTTCTTTAAATTGGTCACCAGATTGAATGTGTCTCGCTCGCTCTCTCTCTCTCTCTCTCTCTCTCGCGCTCTCTCCCTCTCTCGCGCACACACACACAATGCGCAAAACTCCACATTTGTACAGTCAATAGCAAATACTTAAACTAACAACAAAACAGTAGCTGATTCAGAAGCGCCAGACTGTCATAGCAAAGTCAGAATTACCTCCTCTCCTAGGTTCACGAAACGGTCATCCATAAAATGCATTGCTGTTCTGTTGTAAGTAATCTTGAAGATTCCTAAATGCATCTACTTTCAAATAAAGTGCTTTTGCTTTCGCCTAGAAACACACAGCGTCTCCCTGACATGCTGCTTCAACACTAACTGGGGTTATTGAAACCACGCCTTCTTTCTTTGTGTGCACATTTGGGCGGCATTATGCAAATATTTCCACATAGTGAGGTAGATATGTGGGGGCGTGTTAGAACGAGCCGTTTTAGGGGGGTGTGGCAGAGTCTTAACTTTGATAAAGAACATCTCTTTGGATTTGAGACTTTAGGCTTTGCAACTTCAGGGATCTTATCTATGCACAATCAGCTTGTAACACTCCAAAGAGAAAGGAAAACTTGAAATCGCATCATATGACCCCTTTAATATTTTGGTAGAAATTGTGAATTTTTAGGATTCTTTAATGAATAGAAAAGTTAACAAAATCAGCATTTATTTAAAATGGAAAACATTTGTAACATTATAAATGTCTTTACTGTCACTTTTGGTTAAAAGAAGTATTCATTACTAAACCAAAAAATAAACTGTTGTAGTGTAACACTCCAAAGAGAAAGGAAAACATGAAATTGCATCATATGACCCCTTTAACACTGGAGTGGTGGCTGCTGAAGATTACACTTTTTGGCAGGAATAAATTAAATTTTTAAATATATAAAAATAGAAAGCATTGATTTTCAATAATTTTTGTAATAATTTATTGATTTATTTTGCTTTGTCTCTTTCCAGCTGGTCGTGTCTCTGCTGCTATGCTTGCTGGACTGGGTGATGGCTCTACCTCCAAAAACTCTCCTGCAGCCGGTCCAAGGAGCCTCGGACAATGAAAAAACTGACAAGTCCATCCTCAGCTGCATCTATAAAGTATGAGGGCCAACACACACATCTGCTATTAAATATATTTTTTATGTCTCAATATGCATCATTTTATTTTGTATCGCTCTTTAATTTTTATTTTTCCCCTTTCGGAACAACTCAACACATAAGTGTGCACCCCACTCTTTATTTCTTTGTATTTCTAACCCATTTGTCCACCCCTCAGGTCCTCCATGGCTGTGTATATGGGGCTCAGAGCTTCAGTAACCCCAATTACTTCCCCATTCACCTGTCAGACTTGAGCAGCCCAGACTATGACCCCTTCCTACTACTGGAGAACCTGAAGGAGCCAGAGCCACTTCATTCACCCGAATCTGAACGCTCCTCTAAACTGCAGCCCGTTACTGAAGGTGAGTGCATGTCTTCTGCCTCTCTCTTGTTCTTGTTTTGACCTTTCCAGTTTCTGTTTCCTATGCCTTGTCCTAACCAGTTGCGACATGGCAAGTTTTAAGCTTCAAGTAATTTTTCTGTCCTCACAGAAAGCCATTGAGAATGATTGACTGTTTAATATGCAGCTATGCAAAGCACAATTTTGGACCAGTGAGACATTACTGTGGGTCAAAGTGACCTAAAAATTATTTTGTCATGCAATTTTATTAAATAACAGCTTTTTACTTGGATTAACAGAACTAAATTGATAATTTCTCACTGTTGCTGCAGGATAAGACAAAAACTTGGGAAAAAACAGCTTGTCGCACAGTATCAACCATCACCCACCACATTTCACCTATCTTTATCACCTTCTGTAGTTAAAACAAGCAGAACAAATCAGAAGAAGCAGGAATTAACTACTTGAAAATGTGTCTTCATCACCGAATCTGTTTGTTTCCTCATGCTAGTATCAGTGTGTATCAGGGAGAGGACGGGTCTGAGATTGACAGCAGGGGGCTGGTTTCCTGTGCTGCCGTTGCTGTGTCTCTCTCTATCAGGCGAAAATAACTAGTCATTACAACCCTGAGTGAGACATGTGTCCACCACTTTCCTACCTCCATTATTCCTAGCGCTGGATTCTTGCTAGATCGGAGGGCACTCGGCGGCTGAGGTGGTCCGTACAGAAGACTGCTTCATCAGGATAAAATCCCTCCCCCTGAGAGCTCCGGTCTAAGAATGTTTTGGCTCATTAAGGCGGTGGAGAGTGTCGCTGAATGTGATTGGTGTGCTGTGTTGATTGGGGGGAGTGGGCCTCTGACACGTCGAGTGTACTGGTATTGGGCTGCTCTCTGCATGGTTTCTTTGTGAGTTCTGGCAGTATGTGAAGAAGGAGTGTCTCCATACAACCCTGAGTGAGACATGTGTCCACCACTTTCCTACCTCCATTATTCCTAGCGCTGGATTCTTGCTAGATCGGAGGGCACTCGGTGGCTGAGGTGGTCCGTACAGAAGACTGCTTCATCAGGATAAAATCCCTCCCCCTGAGAGCTCCGGTCTAAGAATGTTTTGGCTCATTAAGGCGGTGGAGAGTGTCGCTGAATGTGATTGGTGTGCTGTGTTGATTGGGGGGAGTGGGCCTCTGACACGTCGAGTGTACTGGTATTGGGCTGCTCTCTGCATGGTTTCTTTGTGAGTTCTGGCAGTATGTGAAGAAGGAGTGTCTCCATCGGGAGCTTCTTACCAGCATCGAGGCATCTGCACCTCTCCCCAGGCATCCTGCATTCTTCATCACACCCTAATGTCCCTGTATTCACACGAGCCGTCTGCACCTTCACTCATCTCGGCTCCGCAGGAGTTTAACACTGATAGATCTGAAAACCACTACATCCCTGATGAAACGAGTGCCTAAACTCTATTCCTTTACTTGTTTCTAACACCTTTTCATCATCACTGCAGTCTCTCCATCTCTCTCACTTTCTGAACTTTGATTAAATTCTGCACAATAGATTTAGAGATGGATCATCCGATTAGCCGATAGTGAGGTCAACTACCTAAATGTAAATTTTGTTTTGATTTATTTTATATATATTTTTAACTCTTTCTTAATTTATTTTATTTTATTTTAAATATGTTTAATGGTGGTTTAGTTAGTGTGCTAACAGCATCCCGTTGGTTTGCACAGTAAAACCTCTCTAAAAAGTTGTATCTTTAAAATTATCCATAGTAATTATCCATCCTAGTCTTAAATAGTACTAAAAATTGTAACATTTTTACTATAATTCTTGTTCTTTTTGCTCCATCTTGTTGATCAGACGATGCAATTTTATGTAAGAAACACGGCCGATTATGCCAGATGACCTGAACCAGCTTATATAATAAATATACAAGGCTCCCATAATAAAGATTGGTCAATAAGATGTTCGGTCAAGTTGATTAATTCCAAGAGAACATTCTAAATAGTTTTAAACTGAGCTTGAACACCCAAGTAGTAAGGGCTATGTAGAACCTTATGAATGATGGGCACTCTAATTGTCTTTGAAAATCTCCAGAAATGTCTGCACATACAACATCTTTAAATACATCTTTGTCTTTCTTTCTGTTTGTAGTGAGGAGTCGTATTCAGCAAGGCCTGATTTCAATTGCGGCACGCACGGTCATATCCCACCTGGTCAATCACCTGGGTCACTATCCAATGAGTGGTGGTCCAGCCACTCTGACCACCCAGGTATGCGAGAACCAGGATAACCCGTACAGCGAGAGCGCAGACCTGACCCCTGAACTCTTCGACACACCCAACTTACAGTTTTTTGTGCTCAATGGCACCACCCTGCTGTCCTATCTACAGATCCGGGCAGAGGACGGCCTGCCCGGTGGCGGGATGTCAGCTGGCCTCACCACCACCAGTGCCTGTGTTAGGGTGATCGTGAGGGACATTTCCGGAAAACACTCCTGGGACTCTGCTGTACTGTATAGTCCACCTCATTGCATTACTCCTAGTCAAACTTTGCAACTCTACTCATCCTCCAATCAAGCAGGGGGCGATAGAGAATGTGGCCGAGATGAGGACAGTCTAGAAAGAGGCAGTCAAGAAGAACCAGAGGATGGTGATTTTCAGGAGAACGAGGAGGACCTGGATGAGTACGAGGAGGATGTGAAAGAAGACAGGGAGGAGGAAGAACTTGAGGAAGAAGATGAGGAAGAAGAGGCAGGGCTGGAACTGATGGCCCCACAGGCCAAACGGCTGTGCAGAGAGGTGATCCCAAGCTGGGACTCCCTGCAGGATGGGGAGGATGCCCTGGATGAAATGTTGCAGTACCTGGGATACTCCAGCCCAGAGTGCCTGCAACGTACTGGCACACCGCTCAACATTCCAGCCCCACCACCCACCTGCGTGTCCGAGAAGCAGGAGAACGACGTCATCAATGCCATCCTGAAGCAGTGCGCCGAAGAGCGGGACTTTATGCTGCATTGTGGAAATGACCTGAACATGAGGGCTGTAGTACAGCAAGAGCCAAGTCCACAGAGACCACAGTCGGCCTTTTACTACTGCAAACTGCTCCTCAACATACTAGGCATGAACTCCTGGGAGAAGAGGTAAGACGCAGGACCACTTGAACACACATTGCAGTTGCAAATGCTTGGGAATCCTGTAGGGCAGGGGTTCTAGTGGCCCCCCAGCACTACATTTTGTAGGTCTACCTTAACTGACACATCCAATTCAGGTCTTGCAGTGTCTCTACTAGCTGAGCTGACGAGTTGAATCAGGCGTGTTAGATGAGGCAGGCATGTAAAATATGCAGTGCTGGGGGGCCTCCAGAACAGGTTTGAAAACCCCTGATATAGAGTATCCATAAGTACAAATCGTATTTGTAACAAACGTGTTATGGGATGGTGTACCCCAGCGTTTCCTAACCCTGTCCTGGGAGGCACCCCAAAAGTACACATTTTGGATGTTTCACTTCTCTGAGCCATTCATTCAGGCATTGAAGTCTCTGCTAATGAGCAGAGTTGATTCAGGTGTGTTTGATTAGGAAGAAAATGTGTAGTATTAGGTTGCCTTCAGGAACAGATTGGGCAACACTGGTTACAGGTATGGGATAGTAACTCAAAATTGCAATGTCAAACATGTATAGGAGTGATCCTTCAAAAAATCCAAACATCAGGCATCATGGTGTGCCAATGTGGTTCCCCATGCTAGATTTGTTATTTAAAAAAAAAGAGAAAAATCCTACTTTTTCGGCAAACTCAGCGATCCTCTGAGAAAACTAATCCCATCCGAATGCAAATGTCTGTGATTGTTGACAATATTTTTTTAATAACGCGTTTCCTTGTGTGTTTTGGTCAACGTTAACTACCGTAGACGCTCTTACCATGCACATTTTTGATATGTTTGCCTCCCGGCAAAGAAATAAAAAAATTCAAACAAAAATAAAATCAAGAGCCAGATCACAGAAACTGTTAAGACTGGCTACTTTATTATCAGCGTCAGGTAAGTTTATTTTTATGAAGGTGATCATTTCTGGCATAATGTTTTAATTACATACCTTTATGAACATTAAACATGGTTTTACTACAAATACTACAAATAAAGGGTTTGCTTGCAAATTACTGCAGATAAATTTACGATAATCATCATAAATGTGCTCACTACTTGCTTGACAGGATTTCAGCGCCCGAAGTCACATTTTTTTAATGCACTGTGTATTTTTTAATTGTTCATTATTTTTGAAAAGCCTGTCTCAAGAATCGGTTATCACATTTATTCATATAATGAATTCCATGTTTTTAATTTCATCATGTCCATGTCAAAATCAACAGAGAACTTGATTGCATTGTTTGTTGTTAGTGTGTTACCAAAGCTAGTCACTTTTTTGTCAATATTGAGTTTTTGGGCAGTTTATTACTAATAACAGAAACAAATTCCTCCAACCATAATTCTGCCAATTCTGTTATGTCTTTATGTTAGCATTGTTTAACCACTATATCAGAGAGTTTAATACTTTGTTCTAGGAATTAAGTGATCAACAACACTTCATCAAACCATCCTGCCATTTTTTCCCAAATGAATCACTAAATTTTTTTGGGAGAGTTTGTTAGCACAATCTGGGTGACGCTGTTGTTGAAGCTCGATAATTCATGTAAACATCCTGTTTGCTCGCACCTCTCCCTGATTGCACAGAGCCATGTTAATCTGCTTTAAACAGTCAACATTTTTCTTATCAGCTTATCCACCAATAGAGACTATAGTGGTGCTCACTTACTGCGCAAACCTCAGTTTCCGTCCCACTCCAAAATGCCTAATGGTTCCCCTCATTGTGTTTGACTGTGAGGGTTCAATCCCATTCCATTTTGTGGTATTACAGAGAATGGTTAAATATTTCCAGATGACAAATAATTGGAAAATCTGGGTTATTTTTCACCTTGAATGTAATGGCATTAATTTTAATGATATACATGCTCTGTTATGAGATTAATGAAGGAAAATTACCATTTCACCATTCCCTCATAGAGTTGCCAGGAGGGAAAAAAGCTTTTCTTCAGCAGCTCTGGGTGAATGGTGTGTGTGTGTGTGTGTGTGTGTGTGTGTGTGTACGCAGCTTTTATGGGGGGATTAATTCTTGAGGGGTCTGTTATCTGCCGAGCAGCGGCGGTACTTTTCATTTTTGCCTGATACGCTGGGTGAAAATAAAAGGCTGCTACCTTTCGAATGTGGCTGGAGGGTTATTATGAGTTGGAGAGCTGGGAGAAAATGCATAGGGGCTGTTTAATGAGGAATTGTCCTGCTGCCGCTCTCCAGGCATTCATGTATCATTTATCCGTGGTCAGAGACTAAGGCATTGCAATCCGCCGGGCCATTGTGTGTGTGAGCGCGCTCCTAATGTCGGCCTTTTATGCCGTTCGCGTGGTCGCCTCCTGAAATGGCTCACTTTCAATGGAGAAAATGAAGACCATTAAATTGCAACAAGCTAATAAAGAGACCCCTGCTCAAAGAAAAGGAGAACAAAACAAAAAGTCCTTTTAGAGAGCATCGTGTGGCTTTTCCACATGACTCACGCGGCCACTTGGAGGGAGTGAAAGAAAAAGGGGGAGAGGGAGAAAGTAACTGAACTCTGAACTATAAAAGCTGCAGACGGAAAGAAGTCGCATTATCTTAGATTTGATTTTTTTTCTTTTCATGACGTCATGTGTAGGTTTTCGTTTTACAGCCTTATCGTGTCATAAGATGTTTTTCAGCGCAGGATCTTCCATTGTTTGTTTTCATTTGCGTTTCTGTCGTGGGGTCAGATTTTCCGGGAGACTGTGAGAAAAACATGGAAGACTGTAATTAAGCAGGCGGCCGCTTAATGAAAGAGATCTAACGCACAGTCTAGAACAGCGCTTCTCTAAATAGGGTCTGTGAATAATAGCTAGAGCGTCCTCAAAAAAACGAAAAAATCTATCTATCTGTCTATAGTTCTATTATTGTCTGTCTGTTCTTCTCTGTCTGTCATATCTGTCCATCTAGATATCTTTTTTTATTACATTAATGTTGTTGTTGATCGCCTGTCTATGTGTAAGCTAATTAACCTGAAGTGATCGAAGATGAATATTTCTCTTCATTAGCTCTTATGTTTAAATGTCCTGTCTCCAGGAACAGTTTCCACCTGCTGAAGAAGAACGAAAAACTACTGAGAGAGCTGAAGAATCTGGATTCAAGGCAGTGGTATGTTATGCCACTTTTTATCCAGTGTTGTTTCTTTTAAAGCTATTAGCAACAATCTTGTAAGGGCAAAGGGACCTCATTTTCTAAAGTCTGTTGAGACCACCTGACAAAAGTGCACACCTCTTTTGCTCCTAAATTTGCTTTCTTCTCTATTTACTTTTTTAGTCGTGAAACGCACAAGATTGCTGTGTTTTACGTGGCAGAGGGACAGGAAGACAAGCACTCAATACTGTCCAACACAGCCGGGAGTCAGGCCTATGAGGACTTTGTGTCAGGCCTGGGCTGGGAGGTAAAATCTTGATAATTAATTGCTGGGTGGCAATTCATTAATAAATGTCCTATATATATTTAAATATTACTTGTAATATTTTATATGATATTAATAACTCTTACTCTTTCCTCAACGTTCAGGTGAACCTAACGAGTCATTGTGGATTCATGGGTGGCCTGCAGAGGAACAAGAGTACGGGTTTGACCATGCCTTACTTCTCCACCTCTACAGTTGAAGTGATGTTCCACGTTTCCACACGCATGCCTCCGGACTCAGACGACTCGCTCACTAAAAAGGTAAACTTGTAGAATTCGCCATTTTGAAGTCAACTTACGATTTTAGTCAGGTTACATGACAAATTTCCACCGGAGTTACTTTAGTATTATTTAGATACTATTTTAGCATATATTCGTATTTTGAATTAGCTTTTGTTTTTATATTTTCATTTTTATGTTATTTAAAGTTTTAGTAATTTTGTTATATGCTTATGCCATTTTTATTAGTTGGTTTTTTTATATTTCTATATAGTTTTAATTTATTTGTATTTCATTTATTAGTAAATCATCACTTTTTTTCAGTTAGTTGCCAAGGCAATAATTTGAAGTTTAACTTTTTTTAATCCTTTTTTTTCTTGATTTCATTTAATTATAGTTTTAATTAACAATGAACAAAACAGATTTTTATCACATACTGATACTTAGAGTTTTAGGACTTTATGTAAATAACCTCTGCATTCTGTATGACATACTATCTTCTGCTAAACACGAAGAAGGTATTTCTGAACAGTGTTATTTTTACGTCTAAATAACCCATTTTGCAGCTTGGCCAACTAGACTGAAGCTTTGCCTCGTGAAAGTACACCAGTCTCAAAACAACAAGGAGAAATCTTGTTTTCCTTCTCTCAAAAGCTGCTGATTCTCTAAAGAGTTAAACTTTCCCCCTGCCAGCTCACCTGTGGCAGGCCTTTTAGATTGTAGTCTGTGTCATTTCTTTCATAGCTCTTCTGTCTAGAGTTGTCTCCAGCAGTGTGGCTCTGCTCCTCCTGTGCGATTGGTGAAGTGGGACACAGAACCTCACTGACCTGTGCGTTCACACCTCATCATTAAACCTAACCCAGGCTAATCTGAGGGGTGGGACACTTATACCTGCCGAGAGCTGCGCTTTTGTGTTTCTGGGTTCCCCATAGAGAGAAAAGGTCCTATCTGCTATCGGAACAGAGAAAAGGAGAAAGTAATGACTCCTAACAGCTGTACTTTATTCTCTCGTTCTGCCTCTCCCACTGGCTTTTATCTTGTCTCTCTTTTATTTAAAGAGGGATGTCACACCCTTTCTTTTTCTCACTCTTCCTCGCAGTCGATGTGACCTTATGGAGAAACATTGCTCTCTAGTTTTTCTCTTTGTAAGGGTGTTTCTTCAACTATAGGCACTTTTTTGCCCTGTGGGCTTTTATAAATTAAACATTCTTTAAACACACTTTTTACATTCTAACTAGTTTATTTTATGTCTACTAATAAAATCCATCAGTGTACACACTCATCTCAAATGATGTACTGTTTAATAGTATTCAATGGTGGAAATGACGATGGCAAAAAGACTACTTTGTCTTGCTAAGGCTAATTTCATTGCAAACATGTATCCTAAATATACACAATTAAAATTTTTATATTTTCTTGCATAAATTGACTGGAAATGATGCAAGTAAAATATTTTGTTCAAGTTATATTTACTTTTCTCTTTACGTATCACACTTTTTTCCACGGACACTTTTGTCTGATTGTAAACAAGTATAACTTTTGGGGGAAAATGGTCAAAATCATTATTATTATTATGATTAATGGCAAAATTGGTAATGGTAATCAAACCACAACTGAAAAACAGGTGTTTTGTTTTCTTTTAATATATATTTTGGCTTGATAAATATTGAAATGTGTTATGATTATTTCTTTACGATAAATCAGTCTTAAAAAATGCTAATATGTTTATTGTGGATTTTCATGTTTTAAGATTGAAGTTCTGGATCTGGAACAAAGGTAGAATCCCTTTATCCATTAAGCATGTTTTATTAGATTGCGCTGTTGTTAACCCTTTGAGAAAACTTTTATTCAGTTAACTCTTTTGAAGAGATTTTTAACAGAGTTACGCCAAATACAGTTTTGGCGTTTTGAACAAAAATAAATTATAAAAACATGATGTAATTTAGCCATAATATTTCTCACCATGAAAATAGCCACAGAAGCTGAACACAAACAAACAAAGTCAAACTGAGACAAAGGTAAGCAATAAAATATAGTAGCAAAAATAAAGGCATGGTAAAAAGTTGCTATGCCAAGTCAGTTTATTGTGACCTTCATATAACAAAAAGAACTGGTACAAGCTGTTAGTTAGAATAAAAATCAACCCCTGGGACATTAAAGTGTCCGTACTTGAAGAAACACCCGCAAATGTCTGTCTGCATGGGTATTTTTTTCCGTTCACATAGGCAGCACAAATCTAATAATGTGCAGCATTATCCTTAATGAGCTAGGCTGGAAGGCTGTGATATGGGGCTGTTTGTGGAGCGGCCAGCCCCATGCCGAATGACCAATCGTTTGTCATTAGAGCTGTCCCCTCACTTCCTCACTCATACGTCTTCTGGGGCAGAGACGAGGCGATAAGGTGCTAATGCACCCCAAAGACTTATTAATGAACGCAGATAGAAATGTGATATTGCTGCGAGGGACAGTGGGGAGGGAGGGAGGGCTACAGTGGACCGTAAGAAGGACGTTTCATGGGCCGCTTATTGGGTAGGTAAAGGGTGGCTCTAATTAGATTGCCACGTTTAGTCTGAAATGGTCTCGCCTACAGCTTATTGTATCTTCTCTGTTTTTATGAGCTGGGCAGGTATGCTGAAAGGGGGGTTGTGGGATATTGTCGGGAAGATGTTGGACTGTAATTGGCTTTAAGCAGAAGGATGACAAGATGTTAGGTCTGTTTTTGTGGCCCACTTTTTTAAAACCAGTATTTGTCCTTGTTAAGAGAAATGGAGGATTATGAATGACATGCACATTAAAGTCAACATGATTTTACTTCTGTGCCATATTTCTGAGTACAACTCAATCAGAAAGAAATGTAGAACTGTAGATTTGCAGATAAGTGTTTGATTGATCTTCATATAGAAAGTACAGTAGTAAGAACAGACCAGCAAGAGGGTGGAAAGTTATCTTAAATGAGTGAAATTCAGAGAGAAAAATAAAATGCAACATAGGTATACAATGTAGCTCATGTAACACAGTTTCTCATTACGGACACCTTTTCTGTTCATTTTTTTCTTCAGTTTTTTGTTCAGTTCATCACTTTTTTTCCTGCGCATTTGTACAAATTTGAGCTCAAAAGATTGTAAAATGTACAAATGCACCAAAAAGTGCTTAAAAAAAACTAATGCAGATTTTTTTAAATATTTATCAGAAGAAAAGGCTATTGTGTTGAATGAATTTCTGATGTGATGCTACAAACTGATGTGCCATTTTTCATGATGATATATGATTTAAACTAAGATAGCCGAGATGAAAGAGCATCTTTCAGTCCTGGCTACTTTGTTGTTACTCATTTTATTTGAGAAGAGGTTGGCCACTCACTCATCAGGTAATTTTTATATTTCACATCACACTATCATTCAAAGGTTTGGGGTTAGTAATATAATGTTTTTAAGAAAGTCTGTTATACTCACCAATCCTGCATTTATCTGATCAAAATACAATAAAGCGATTTAGTAAATTATTAAAATTTCAAATAACTGTTTTCTGTCTTAAAATATAATTTATTTCTGTGATGCAAAGCTGAATTTTCCAGTACTCCATTGCTTCAGCCTTCAGTGTCACATGATCCTTCAGAAACAATTCTAGTGCGCTAATTTTAATTTTGTGCATTTCGTATCAGTGTTGCTTAATATTTTTGTGGAAACTTTTTTTTTCAGGATTCTTTGCTATCTTGAAAGTTCCAAAAAACAGCAATTATTTAAAGTAGAAATCTTTTTAACAGTATAAAGGCATGTCATGCCTCTTTTAAATCAATTTCATGCATCCTTGAGGAATAAAAGTATACTTTTTTTTTTTTTTTTATCTTACTGACCCTAAACCTCTGAACAGTAGATATAAAGTACAGTAGCAAAAATTGTTAGAGTTAAAGTCATCTAAAATATGACACATATACAGTACATGGGGGTTTTAGGAGGAAATTAAAATGCAGAACTGTACAAAACATGCATCTTTTTAACACCGTAAAATCAAGGATTTATGCATTCATTACCATAACTGCGGTAAGCCAGATCACTTTTCTTCTATAATTCAAACATTTCTTTTCTCTCTGTTTTTGTGTCATTGAAGTGACTGAGCACATCTTGCAATAATAAATTTAATGCAGATCTATATCTTCTTATCACAATGAGGATGGGCCGTTTGAATTTCTACCAGAATGTTGCCACGATCTGCACTAAGGGCCGCCAATCGAATGTGGCATTTCTCAGAATGATATTACATGATTAAACAAAGATGGCTGAGAGATGAAAGAAATCTCTCAGTCCAGACCACCTTATCATCCTATAAAACTCCAATCATTTTGTCACACGGACACACACCCTGGAACGAAATGGCAGTCCCTGGTCTGCGGCAGTGCAGCTGAAGGCTGGATGTAATTCATGGCTGTAATTTGAGCACGAGGCATGAGGTGAAGTGACGTGTGGGGCGGTTGGGCCGGTGAAGGTTTTTTTTTGGACTGCTGTCCCTGCCCTGCAGGGGAGCTGAGGGGACCTCCATGCCACACACGGCTATATTCCACCCAAATTAGATTGGGTCTGTCCCTGTGCTGCATTGCCTATCATGACTTCTCAGAGGCAAATTGGATTTGCAAGGGCTGCTGGAGAGGCTATCCAGAGCACGATCTTCCGATAGCAACTCCTAAACCATGTTAACTAGACACTAAAGTGTGTCAGCAGTGCAGCCGCTGGTGCCACAGCGTACACACATTTATTTTTCTGCTTTTTTTTTTTTCTTCTTACAGCTGCTGTTTTATGCAATGTTTATTGTCTAACATGCTCTCTGAAGGATTAAAAAAAATGTCTATACTTGCCAATTGCCAGGGAATTGAGAACATTTGTCAGCCGTTATTGTCCATGAAAATGATAATCAATGTATTATTCTAAAATATATTTATTAAATATTATTTAATTATAATTATTTTAATATAATATTTCATTATAAAATTTAAAAATCGGTGAAGTTAATAAATATATATATATTTTTTAAATATATTTAGTTTTTTATATTATATATTTATTGTCTTTCTGGCACACAATTGCGACTAAATTCAGAGAATTTATTATATAAAAACATTTTCACTTGCCAATTGCAAGTGATTTGAGAAAATTCAGTGGCCATAAATTTTGTTTGTAGTTCATCAAAATAAATCAGTGCATATGTTATTAAATATTTGTATTAATTAAATATATTATCATAATGTTAAATAGTTTATCTTTTTTAAATGTTTTATTTTTATTTTTTTTACTTTTATCTACTTATTATTATATATTTATATATTATTATTAAGTTATTATGTTATATTACCTTATGGCAATTATTTTGCTGCTTTTATTTTTTTGTAGCATCACATAAAAACTAGTCACTGCTATATACATTTGAAGGTTGGAGAGTATTCATTTTGGACCTGCTCAGCTTCACGTTCCCATGATCCTTGCTGTTTTAAATAGCTTGAGCTGTAACTGCAAAGTAGAACTCTGCAGTTAAAGAAATAAACAATGTCCATCGCTGAGTCCAAAGGACAGAATTTGTCATTAGTTGCATAAAGGTTGCGGCCGTCGCCCGGGACAGTTGACGGGTCGCTGTGCCCATGGCCTTGGCAGTGATTGAGTGGGTCCCGGGAAGATGGAGTGATCGGTGGAAGATAGATGAGAGGAGGAGAGACGGACCGAGTGTCCGTTCACTCAACTGTCACAGCGCAAGGTTAATAACGCTGGAGTGGATAGCACTGTACCACGGCTACATGCAGTCGAGATTCAATTCAAACCAGTTCAATTTTTGCTTTTGTTTTGGAGAACATGACGGTCATAAAATATGACCAGCATACAAACTCAAGGCTTCTTGTATTGTTACGGAGTAAACAATGCATACAAGTGTATTATGCATGTGAACCCCACAATGAAAGTGAGGTATCACCATTCAGCATTAAGTTACTATAGAGGAACCATATCTTTAATAAGTATACTTTAAATCTGTTTGGACAAAAGCATAATCTAAATGACATCTTTTATGTATTCTCTCTCTCCATACAGTTAAGACACTTGGGTAACGACGAAGTGCACATCGTTTGGTCCGAGCACTCGCGGGACTACCGGAGAGGCATCATTCCTACTGAGTTTGGAGACGTGCTCATCATCATCTACCCCATGAAGAACCACATGTACAGCATCCAGATCATCAAAAAACCCGAGGTGAGCGCAACAGTGAACCAATAAGGACAAAAAACTGTCATTTAGTTGTTTCTGATTCCTGTCTGTAACTAGACATGTCACAAACAAATAATTTTATGAATTAAATCATTTTTTAATCTTTTTAATTTATTCAAATAGATTTGTGAAACATATTTAAAGCACCTGACTCTAGTAGAAAACTTTATCTGTGAGTAAAAGTGCAGGATGGGGATAAAATGTTGGATATACACTACTGTTCAAAAATGTGGGGCCAATTAGATTTTTTTAATTTTTTTATGTAATTCATATTTTTATTTAACAATAAGGAATTTAATTATTCAAAAATCAGTTACAATCTTTAAAAAAATAAATTTCATATAAATGTTCTTTGTACTTTCTATTCATAAAAGAAACCTGCAAAATGAATCATAGTTTCACAGCACAACTGATTTCTGAAGGATCATGTGACACTGAAGACTGGAGTAATGATGCTGAAAATTCAGCTTTGTGTCACAGGACAAAATTACATTTTAAAATATATAAAAATAAGAAACAGTTGATTTAAATTGTAATTGTTTAAATTAAATACTATTTCACAGTATTACGTTTTTACTGTATTTTTGATCAATACTTATAGCCTTGGTGATCATATGAGACTTTTAAAAAAATATTGCAAAAATTTTCGCACCTCAAAATTTTGAACGGTAGTGTAAAACACTAATAATGAACAGCGTTATATAAATAAATATTAATTTTATTACCAAAAGAACGTGACACCTTGGACTCTTTTTGACACTTGTGAATTCGTTTTTTTTAACCATTTAATTGAAGCAAATTGTCTGAATGGGCCTATAGGCTAAATGCATTCCAATTCCCTGAAACCCTCGTCCATACTTTAAACTGGAAAAAATGATTTTAATGGCTGCTGAACAGCGAGATCGGTATACAGTAAAGCAGAGATATTTGTTTGTGCATCACATCCATTTGTTGTTCTGTAAATGAGCTCAATGTTTGGTACAGGAGACAGTGGAAGCATATCTGTCTTTGGGCACTACCAGCCATTGCTTCCTGCTCAGTTATGTCAGGGCTAATTGAATGAATGGGATTCTCAGAATCGAATTCCGCTGTGGAGATGGATCCGAGACGAGAGGCTCAGTCTTTCATGCAGTCTGAGGAAATGTAGAAAGATGGAGAGATAAAGAAAGATGAGGCCTGGCTTTTATGAAAGTCCATTTAGACCCCATTTCAGTGCATGAGGGCTATTCACTGTGTCTTTTCTTCTTAATGTCAGGGATATTTTTTATGTAACAGGATGAAATACGTCGGAGGTTTTGACATTTCCATGCCTCCTTTTATTTGAAGGATAAAGCTGCTAGCTTATAGGATGCGTAAAGTCCTGTTCACAAAAAGTATGGTAAAACTAAGTATTTGCAAACAATGCTTTAGACCAAAACTATTCATTCTGAAAACAAAAGTTTACCTGAATATAATGTTCATCTGAAAAAAATTAAAATTCACTACCGTTCTAGAGTTTGGGGTCGATAAGATAGTTATTTTGAAAGAAATTAATACTTTCATTCAGCAAAGACACATTCTGTTTATATAAGTATAAATCAATACCTTTATAATGTTACAAAAAATGTCAAATAAATGCTGTTCTTTTAGACTTTCTTTTCATCAAAGAATCCTGAAAATGTATCATGGTTTCCACAAAAATGGGAGTGTGAATAGGCCTTAATACTGATTGAAATGTGTGTTTTGTTCCTGCTTGGATCTGCTCACATTTTGCTCTTCACAGGCCATTAAGTGTTCATATATCATGTCATCTCACTTTCCACAGGTGCTGTTCTTTGGTCCCTTGTTTGATGGAGCCATAGTGGATGGAAATATCTTACCCACAGTGGTGCGAGCCACGGCCATCAACGCCAGCAGAGCTCTGAAATCCCTCATCCCTCTTTACCAAAATTTGTATCCTTTTCCAGACTTTAACGAGTGCACATGTGAGCTTTTGTCATGTTTAAGGTGGCAGAAGCCTATTATCATTGTTACAGCCTGCTTGGTTGGTTTTCTGCTGTCTCATCCTGCCATGCAGACCTGGCTCACGTGTGTACGGATTGACTTGAGAGCGGTCAGGTTGATTCTGATGGGAGCAGGTAGAGCCGCTCGATAATTATTGATGTCTTATTTCTCAGCTCTGCGCATGTAGAGCACCGCTCTCTGCTCACCCAGTCAGGCGGGTGATGGAATCATTCTGATCACTCCTCAGTGTCTGCTAACCGTGATGCACAGCCATTTGCTTTTGAAATGCTTCTCTGGCAATTTAGCGTTCTTTTCTGTCTCTCTTTTTCTCTGTCACACGATCTAATCCTTTGCTGTTGTATTTAATCTTTTTTTTAGGCTTTTTCAACCTCTTTTTTGTTAGACATACAAGTTATTATTAAAAGTTATTATTATACATAAGTAACACTACATGTATTGTCTCTCAAAATAAGCTTGAATAGTAGTAGTTTTGGCTTGTTTGCCTTTACGTAATATTAGGGCTGTCTAATATAATAGTAGTATGTTTTAGGGTTAGTGATTTGGACTTTTAGTATTAAACTTTAGCTATTGCTTTAAGTGATTGGACTGGCAAGTGGGAAAAATCCCATAGTTTTACACTGAAAGATGAACCTGAGCCATATCTATAGACCAGAATATTATTGATGGTTGGCTCCTTTGACTCTTAAAGGATCATCATTTTGAAAAGAAAAAAGCAATTTTTAAGAAAGAAGGCCTTTGGTCAGAATGAGACAAGCAGCCTGGATTTGAACTTATAGCAACCGACCACCCATCATCATTTTTGCAAGGTCAAATGCCACTATAAAAATCTAGTTTCTTTTACTTTGACAGTCTGCTTTGTTTTGTCCAAAATCAGTTATTGCTAACTAATTACAGCCACTGTATGCTTTAGATAATGTTCAGTATCCGAACATTTCCAAGTCCAAATCCAACCTCTCTTGCATCGTTGGCACCAAAGACCTTTAACCTTTCTTTAAGAGCGCTCTTTTCTTCTCAAAGAGATGCTACTTCCAGAAAACAAAGCGAAGTCGGAGAGGAGGGGAGAAAAAGAGAGAGAGAAAAGGGGGGGGAAGCGATTCTCATCTGCCATGTCCTCCAAGCCAGAGAGATTGTTTGGCTCAGCTTGAGTCTTTCGCTCGCAGCAATCTCGCCCATCTGTGTGCCTGCGCGAAGCTCGATAGTGGACTGAGCTATTGATTGGCATGAGCCGCACAGGTCGATGCTCCTGACAGCCTGAATTACAGTAATCTGTCATTATCGACGGATGTCTCTCCAAACCTTTTCTCTCTCTCCGTCTTTCTCTTTTCTCACTCGGTCTGTTTTTCTTTCAGTCTGATTCCATTTATTTTGAAACTATCCCTCCCTCTTTTTTCTCTTTCTTTGAGCGCCCTCACACCTTCTTTTCATTCTGTTGTTTCAATAATTGATGACTGTGAGGGATGGATGGCAGGCTAGTAGTGATTAGAAGATCTATGTGCCAGACGAGCTGCTCTCCTACAGTGAAAACGGGCCGTGAGACTGAGAGGACCCCAGGGATGTAAGGAAGGAAGTCACAGTATCTCCTGCTTACCTGTTGATGGTGCCGCCACATGCAGTCATTGCCGAGAGAGAGAAAGTGATGTAGCCTAATTGCCCCTCTAACATCCTCATATCTCTGAATCAATCACTAACGGGAGGTGTGGTGTAGTAGTTAAAGTGCAGAGCTGGCAAAGTTGCTGGTTCAGTCCTCATAAGGAACTAGTCATGAGCCATCATCAAATTCGTTCCACTCACCCTCATCGTAAGGTCATAAATTATGAGATATCTAGAATTTTAGGGTTGGGTATCGATAGTTTTCCAAAATTGATTCAATTCCAATTCTCAAGCTCTCAAATTTGATTCACTTTGGTTAAATTCTGATTCATTTGAGTATATTGTAGTAATTATTTTTTTCTTAGAATTGCTTACTTATGAAAGGTTTTCTACTGCTAATGCAATAACACACATGCATTACATTATTATTTAGTTTCTGTTGGGAATCGAGTTACATTGGTTTTTTTGGTTTAGTTAAAAAAATGATTAACTAATTGTGCTGGTGTTTTTTGTTTTTGATTCAACAAATGAACCGGTTCATAGGAGTGGTTCATTTCAGGATTCAGGCTATGCTGGTTACACTGTGTTTTTGAATCACTAATAAAACCAGTTCCTAAGAGTCATTTGTTCATTAAATATGCTATATTGTTCATGCTGTATGTTTCATTAGAAGAACCGACTCATAAGAGTCTATCGTTTTGGATTTAGGCTACATGTCTGTTTTTGGTTCACTAAAAGAACCAACACATAAGAGTCATTCATTTGGGGATTCACTTTACACTGGTCGTATAATACAATGTATGTTATTTAAGTCACTAAAAGAACCGGATCAATAGAATATTTTGTTTTGGGATTTAGGCTACAATGGTCATTCTGTATGCTTTTGATTCACTTAAAGAATTAAATCATAAGAGTCGATGATTGGATGAATTGGACTGCACTGGTTGCCGTCACACTGTCTCGGTTGATTTGTGTAATTTGAAAGAAGTAGTTAAAATAAGTACACTTGGAAAAAATACATTGGCTTTCAAGTCTTTTTCCATCTGTATAATCATACTCATTTTCTTCCACCTGAATTGCATTGCACGCCGAGCCTCAGTTTACCACCTTTAGTTTCACAGAAAAAAAAATTAGATTTGGTCTGGATGCAAATGTCAGGTGCTGTTCTTGCTAAAGAGGTCCTCATTAAGAAATGTTCAAATGATGCACCAGCTGATGCATGATCACAGTAGCCCCTCTTTAGCTCAGCAGAGACATGTGTTGTGAGGTAAATTATCTAGATTTAAGAAAGGCAGACCAGCATTTTCCTTTTATAAAAAGTCTGCAGTATGCCTTTTTCAAGCTTTGTCAAAACATATTTTTTCCCAAATTTTTGCCCTGAAACTTTATAAACTTTTTAATTCGCTGTTCTCACTTTTTTTTTTTTCCTTCTTCATCTCTTCTCTTTTCTCAATCTGTAAGCCAACACGCCTCAACCTCTCTTGTGCCTGACTCTAAGTTCCAGTTCCTTCTCTTGGCCCCGGGCTGCGTCCATCTGCCTCCCCGCGCACTGATCCCTCATTCGGCATGACTGTGAAATTAGGGCCTGGAATGGAGAGAAAGGCGCCTCTTTGGTCTTAATATCTGTTGGAGGGAAAGGGGAAAAAAACTGCAGGTAGCTGGCGTGGGTCAGTGTTATGAATGCTGGGCAGACAAAATAACAGGGTTAAACCACAGATAGCACAGGAGTAATCCAAAGGGCCATGTGTGGAAAAAGAGCCCGAGCTCGGGGCCTTCCAAGCAGCCTTAGTCTCTAGGGCACCATGTTGGGTCTGAGTGATAAAATGTTCTGGGCTGCCATATGTGGAAGTGTGTGTGCGTTTTAAACACCCCACTTCGATTAGAGCTAGTTGACCTGTCTCAACCCCAGGCTACTGGATCGCTACAGCTGCTAGTCTTCTTGTAACGCATCCTGGAATGAAGTGGATCTAGATCTGGTCCTTCAAGCCCTGATTGCACGGCGAGAGAAACCCACATTATCTGATCCGCCTGGCTCGCGGCTGCGAGTTGGCTAGGGGGAGATTGGGTGTTGATGGCTTGGACTCTGCAAGGAAAAAAAAACACGTAAGTCTAAGAGTCACGGCCATCTTCCATCTGTCAGTGGTCGATTGGGACGCAGGGGGAGAGGAGGGGACATGCTAAGCGGCTTCCCAATTGGCCGTGCCAGTCCAGTGGTGTGTGTGGGACCGTTCCAGCTCTGGCGTGACAGCGGGGGCAGGCCCGCTGGCTGCTGATTGGCAGCGATAAGTGCCGGGCTGCTGGGGTCAGCATATGGCAGGGTGTGATAGCAGAGAGAGTGGAAGAGGTTTGGGTCATAGCCTCCTTCCTTCTGACTCTGGCTTTTCCAAAGGCAACCGAGCTGATGGAAGCAGCAGGCCAGCGCTTCCCCTTTTGTCCCCATGCTTGAGCGGCCCGCGAGTGCACACACACACACGACGTAGCCACAGCCAAATGCCTAACGGGCAGCGCTGCCACACACTGCCAGCTCTCACAATGGACCCTATTGTGTCCCAGTAACAACGTGGTCTGCTGGTGTGTGTGTGTGTGTGTGTAAAGGGGGATGGAAGGTTGCACTATTCACTAATTGTCCCATCAGTGCGAAAAAGGGGGTGGAACAGATTAAGGGGGGGTTTTGGGTAATGGTGGGGTCAGTGCTTAATTGCTTATGCCATTTTCTTTCTCTTTCTGTCTGTCTATGTCTTTATTTTGTGCATTAGTCATTATTGTAACTGCAAAAGTTGTTTTTTTCCAGCACAGTTCACATCAGTGGCATTAATATGTCAATCAATCACTGAGCCAGCCATTCCTCCTAACGTCTCTCCTGTTTTGACCTGTTAGCACCGACAGCTTCATCCCCAGACTTTCCAGTCAGTCAAACACAGGCCGTGTGTGAATGAGTGAGGTGCAGGGTGTGTTAACAGAAAAGAAAATGTTGTTGTGTAGCCTCCTCCGGCTCGGGATAGATTGGTAAACAACAAGCTCCCTGGGGGTGCATGGCGATGGGGAATGTGGGTCTGACTCTTACGAAGTGTTTAGGATGCGCTGCAGGCTTCTCATGAAGTTTGTGGTTAGTGTAGCAGAGACGCATATCTGTCTCTGTCTATCTGTCTGTCTATCTTTGAAAGTTTGTCTCAAAAACAGCTTTTTGCATGTATTTCCAAATTAGTTCTATTAATTTTTCTTTGTTTTATGAAAGTTTTTCTTTACTTTTTTTAATGACTTCTGAATCTATTGTTCTATCGCTCTGTCTGTCGTTCTAACATTCTGTTGTTCTGTCTATGATTACTTTCCAGTCAGTC